TCCATGCTGGTGGCAGCATCTATCCAGGATCTTCTTGTCCCCTTAGGTGATGGGCAATGGTTACCAACCAGCTTGCTGTAAAGCCCAGAAAGAGTAGGCTTTGGAACCACCTGCTAGCAAACAGAGTATTAGTTACTGAGAGCAAAATGTGTTGTATCTTTGCACCTGAGTTTATGTTTAGCCAATTGCTGTGTTATCAGTTTGACCAAGAAGGGGTTCGTTGTTATTCATCTCTGTTAATGTCTACTGAGCACTTGCTGGTTACCAGATCTGTGCTCACCTTTTTGTGCTTTTTATCACTCAATGCCCTAAAGCAGCATCATCCAGTTGAACTTGCTGCAGTAATGGAAATGCTCTGTATCTGCACTAATACAGTAGCCACCCTCCAATGTGGCTATTGAACATTTGAAATGTGGCTAGTACAACTACAGCTGAATTGTTAACTTGATTTTGTCTTAAATTTAAATGGAATTTTTTTTTTTTTTTTTGGTACCAGGGATCAAACTCGGGACTTCCCGCTTGCAAGGCAGGTGGCGGAACCACTGAGCTAAAAGTCCTTTTAACTTGAGTTATAGATGAGAGGAGATGAGACTTAGAGGGTTTGGTAATTTGCTCAGTCACAGTGTTTCTGAGCTGCGTTGGGACCCAGGCTTCCTGCCTCCTGAACCTTCTCCTCACTGTCATGGCTGTACTCTTTTTTTTGTTTTGTTTTGTTTTTTGGTACAAGGGATCAAACTTGGGACCTCGCGCTTTCAAGGCAGGCTGCAGCACCACTGAGCTAAATCCCCAGCCCACAGCTGTACTCTTTTTATTGTGCTGTTTGCAGAAATTGCTTTATGTTTGCAGATTGCTCCCTGACTCACAAACACCATGTGTAGATATGCAACCCATCTTAAAATTAATGTGCAAGATATATATAAAAAGGGGAAGCCAAGGATTTAACTCAGTGGCACCACGCCTGCCTTGCAAGCTCAAGGTTCTGAGTTCGATCCCCAGTACCGCAAAAAAAAAAAAAAAAAAAAAGCAGTTCTATATCTTAAAAAAGCTGTGAAACTTACCAAAGGATATAAAAGAAGTCCTGAATAAATGAAGGGGGACCCGTGTTATGTAGGAAGACTCAGTAACGGAAAGATATCATTTCACCCCACAAAAATCTCTGGACTCAGCATGAGCCCATGACAAATCCAAAAGGGAATTGTAATGAAATTCAATTCTAGAAGAATAGATTAGAATGATTGAAACAGTTTTGAAAAAGAATAGTTGGGTGTGGGGGACAGGGGAAATGGATTTGTTCTGCTCATATATAAGTGCTGAGTAAGGTGAATTAAAAATGAGGCACTGGGGCCGGGGATTTAGCTCAGTGGTTCCGCCGCCTGCCTGCCTTGCAAGCACAAGGTCATGAGTTAGATTCCCCATAACAACAACAACAAAAATGAGGCACTGGAACGGGAACAGACAATAGAACAACAACACGAAATAGTCCAGAAAGAGGCAAATTAAACCATATATCAGTAGGAGTGAGGCTGAGCCATTATTAGTAGATAAAAGAAACAGATTATCCATCCAGAACGAAATAAAGCTGCTTCCTTACTTCATGTCAGTATAAACATCTACACATAAAACCACTGGCTGGGGTGTAGTTGAGTGGTAGAAGCCTGCCTGCGACATGCAAGACCCCAGGCTCAATCTCCCACCACACGCACACACACACTTATACATGTGTGTATATGTTTATGTGTGTGTGTATATGTATGTATATCTTAGAATCAAAAGAATAAAGGTAGTTTTATAATAGAATGGGAAATGTAGGAAATCATAAAGATTGACAGTCTTGACTGCAAAAACTTAAACATTTCTCAGTAGGGAAAAATCAACATATTCAAGATATAAAGGTCATTGGCACTGGGGAGGTAATTATACAATGCAGTAAACTGGGTTTAATTTAAACAAGGAGCTGTAATAATTCAATAAGAAAAAGGGAAGCTTCTATGGACAAAAGTTATTAATAAGCAGCTCACAGAAAAAAATAAAAATGGTTAATGGGTATGTTTACCTATAATTTTAACCAGAGAAATACAATTTATTTATTTATTTATTATATTTATTTATTTTTTGATACCAGGGATTGAACTCGGGACCTTGTGCTTGCAGGGCAGGCAGCGGAACCACTGAGCTAAATCCCTGGCCCCAGAGAAATACAATTTAAAACAATTAGGTATTTCGGTGCCTGCCTCACATTCCTGGTACAAAAAAAAGTACTTTAAAAAAATACTGGGTGCTATTTTTCACCAGTTGGGCTGGGAAAAAATTAGACTAATTATATCCAGTGTTGGCCAGTGAGGGGGGAGTATAAATTTATCCATCATTCTAGAAAGGGAAATGATAGGACCCAGGCAGATTGTAAATATGTATGTCCCTTAGCTCAGCAGCTCCACTTGTTTGTTTTATTTTGAGACAGGGTCTCATTATATAGTCTAGGCTGGCCTTGAACTTGTGATCCTTCTGCCTCAGCCTCCTGAGGTCAGGGATTATAGAAGTATACTACTGCCCTCAGATGTAGCTCAGTTGCGGTTCGCTTAAGAAGTGCACTACTTTAAAAAAAAAAAAGGGCCGGGGATTTAGCTCAGTGGTTTCCCCGCCTGCTGCGCAAGTGCAAGGACCCGAGTTCCATCCCTGGTACCAAAAAAAAAAAAGTGCACTAGTGCCTGACTCCAGGAGCTCCACTTTTTTTTTTTTTTCTGGTACCAGGGATTGAACTCAGGACCTTGTGCTTGCAAGCCAGGCAAGCAAATCCCCAATCCCCTCTTTTCTTTTCTTTTTGCTGGGGAATTGAACTTAGGGCTTTCATACTGAGCTACATCCCCAGCCCTTTTTTTTTTTTTTGGTACCGGGATCGAACTCGGGACCTTGCATTTGCGAGGCAGGCGGTGGAACCACTGAGCTAAATCCCTGGCCCTCTCCAGCCCTTTTTAAATTTTTTGTTTTGAGACAGGGTCTCACTAAGTTACCCAGGGTAGGCTTGAATTTGCCATCCTCCTGCCTCAGCCTCCTAAGTGCTGGGGTGACAGCAGTGTGCCACTGTGCCTGGCTGCAGCGGCTCACCATGCAGTAGCATCTACACAGGACAGTGCAGAGTTCACTGCAGGTGTTTTGGTACATGACATCAGAGAACTGGAGACCATAGACATGTTTAACAATAGTTGGAGGGCCGGAGATTTAGCTCAGTGGTTCCGCTGCCTGCCTTCCAAGCACAAGGTCCTGAGTTCAATCCCTGGTACCAAAAAAAAATTGTTGGGCTGGGGATAGGGCTCAGTAGTAGAGCATTTGGCTAGGGTAAGGAGGTCCTGGATTCAATCCCCAGCAATACAAAAAACCCAAAATAATCATTAAAGTATGGTACATCACATTGTTTAATACAATGCGACTATGAAAAATAAATATAATGATCTGTGTATAATGATACGGAAATATATGTGTGATGTATCTTTAGGGCAAAAGCAGTATTCAGAAAAATAAATATAGGGGCTGGGGATGTAGCTCAGTGGTTCTGCCGCCCACCGCCTGCCTCACAAGTGCAAGGACCCGAGTTTGATCCCCGGAACCAAAAAAAAAAAAAAAAAGAAAGAAAAAAATTTAATTCTGGGCTGGGGATTTAGCTCAGTGGTTCTGGTGCCTGCCTCACAAGCACAAGTTCCTGAGTTCGATCCCCAGTACCAAAAAAAAAAAAAAGAAAAGAAAAAGAAAAAGAAGTATATCCTGATCTTACTTTACTTTTTTTTTTGGTACTGGGGATCAAACTCAGGACTTTGTGCTTGGAAGGCAGGCAGTGGAACCACTGAGCTAAATCCCCAGCCCTTGTTTTGCTTTTTAAATGAGGAAGTTGCACTCTATCTCTAAGGAAACTTTCAGCTTTACTATCTATTCTAAGATGCTCTGATCTCTGATCTTGAAATTTTTTTAAAAAACATTTTTTTTCTTTGCAGTAGTAGGGATTAAACTGAGGGGCTTTGTGTGTGCTGGGCAAGTGCTCTACCATTGAGCTACAGTCTCAGCCCCTTTTCAATTTTGTTCTGTCCCAGCCTGCAGGGCTGCTGGGCTTGGACAGGGCCAGAGAAGAGGGCTCTTTCTGTTGTGGGGGTAGATGGCTGGCCTCCCCCGAGAGCACATGCTTATTGGTATGGTTACCACATCTTGCCTGCTGCAGCCATCTGTCTGGCACTGCTTCTAGAAAGGACTTGAGAGCACATTTGTCCCGAGAGCTTAAACCCAGATTCAGGAATCTGTACTCTTTTCTTATGTTCTTTCCCCTTTCAGCCACTGGGAAGGCAAATCAAACAGGATATGCTAAAAAGAACTGGCCAGACTTTTCCTCCAGAGCTTTGCTTGGCTGCAGAAGCTCAGTCCCAGTTCCCTAGCTATGCAATAAACTGTTCTCACCTGGTGGGCCTGCTCCATGCTGGGGGTCATCTCACCTGTTGTCCAAATCTCTGTGGAGCAGTCCAGACTAGGAAGTGTCCTTGGTGCAGGGTTCAACAGGAGCCTGGCACCCAGAATCACACCTAGCCTTGCCAGTTTCCTCAGGCACATCTAGTGCCCCTGTCAGCCTCTGCCAAGAAGCCCATCGGAGCAGGCCCATCAGCCCTTACTGTGTGCAGAGGGCAGCCCCACGCGGGGCCAGCATGTTGTATAGCTCTGTGCATGTGATTTAAATAGATGGCACTATCTGTGGTGACCCTGGAGTTGTGCAGATGTGGCCCTGGCTCAAAGCCTAGGACCATCTGACACCTGTCCAGGGGCTGCACATCCCTCCACAGCATCAAGTTGCATCATGCAAAGTGCCCCTGAGGGCCTTTTGGGGATGTAGCTGGGGGAGATGGCCTTTGGCCTCTGGAACCTCAGGGCAGGTATCATGGGTGCATCATTCACTGATGGTTTTCTCAGCTCCCTTAAATCCAGACATCTGTAGCCTTCCTCTTTATCCCTTTATTTTTCTCTTTCAGCTGCAGAGCTACTTTGCTGCATGTGAGGATGAGACCCCTGCCATCCGGAACCACGACAAGGTTCTGCAGCGCCTGTGCGAGCACCTGGACCATGCACTGCTCTACGGGTAAGTGAGGGAGTTCCGAGTTAGCCCAGTAACCTTCCTGGCAGGACGGAGTGGCTGGGGCGGGATGGGGTGAGGGCACATGGGGTACCTGGGGGACCTGTTATCTGCAGCTTGCTGGGGTGGCCCTACCCAGGGCCCAGCACTGTTGTCCTGTCCCCCCAGGTTACAAGACCTCTCCTCTGGCTACTGGGTACTGGTGGTGCATTTCACCCGCAGAGAAGCCATCAAGCAGATTGAGGTGTTGCAGCATGTGGCCACCAACCTGGGGCGCAGTAAGTTCTGCCCTCCCTCCAGGAGGCTAATTGCCTTGTGGGGTCCAGTGCCAGTGGGGTTAAAGGGCCAGCACCCTGCTTGAGGCCTCTTTTCTCCTGTGTGTGACAGTTTGTGGATGCATTAGTGATGGGGTGAAGGGAAGCATTACATGGAGGAGGACAGGACTCCACACACCCCAGGGAAGCACACAAGGAGGAGACTGGTTTCTCTCCAGATTAGGGCCCAGGTTAGCCCACAGAATCAGGGCAGTGTGCTTGCCTGTCTTAGCCTATGTGAAGTGTGCCACCTGCCCTCTTCATCTGTCCCAGCTGGCCACAGGGTGGGGCCTAAAAGCTTCTGGAGTGCTGGTCCCTCATCTGGTCTTTCTTTCCTTTCTGCCCTTGCTTGGCAAAAAACAAAAGTCACGCCCTGACAGACCTTCCTTTGAGTTACTCCTGCCTCCGTTGCAGGCCGGGCCTGGCTGTACCTGGCCCTCAATGAGAACTCCTTGGAGAGCTACCTGAGGCTGTTCCAGGAGAATCTGGGGCTGCTGCAGAAGTACTACGTCAGGTGAGTGTCTGCAGTGCTATGTCACCTGGCCTGTGGCTTCCCAGGCAGACTTACAGCGTGCCATAGAGGCCTAGCCTGGCATCCCATAGGAGGATGTGGCAGTGATGGCCAGAGAGCTGTGGGAAGCTTGCTGGCAGTGTGGTGGCTTGCTCTGGGATTGCTGAGGTCCCGCCTGGGCTGCTGTGTACAGTCTCGGACTCTAACCTCCGCCTGATCCTATGCCCAGGCCTCAGACTGACTGAATGTTCTACCTTGGCCTTAGCCTTTGCCAGGGTTGCTGCAGGGACAGAGTATTTATAGCAGCCTCTGAGAGCCTGCTGTGCCTCATGCTACAGGCCCATCTCTGGAGCCCCTGGCAGGCAAGAGCAGTGTGGAGAATGCTGGAAGGAAAGATGTGGGGATAGCTGTGTCACACTGGGTGCCATCCAGGTGCTGGGGCTGTTATGTGTCCAGTTTCAACACACTTGGCTCCCTGTTAAGTTTGGGCCCAGGTGGTAACCAGACCCAGAAGTACCATCGTTGTTTCTTATGTCTTGCAGGAATGCCCTGGTCTGCAGCCATGATCACCTGACTCTCTTCCTGACCTTGGTGTCTGGGCTGGAGTTCATTCGCTTTGACCTGGAGCTGGTGAGATTCCCTTCCTCTGTTAGGGACAGGGAAGGGGGCAGTGGGGACAGGAGCTTCATTTTTCCAATCCTTCAGGGGAGATTGATGGGCATGGGGAGCTTGAACAATGCCTATTTTTCAAGTGAGGGAAAGGCTTCTGGGTCGGTGGAAAGGAGTGCTTCACTCTCCTGGCCTACTGATGGCAAGGGGTCCTGGTTCAGGTAATCCTTTCTATCTCTTTCCAACATGGAGAAAAGCCACACTGCCTGGAGTATCTTATCCCAGAAGGATTTGCCTTCATGTTTGGGACGTGAATGTGTGAGAGGAGCAATGTGAATTTATCCATGTTTCCTAGAATTCTGGCAACTGGCATTGGCCCCATGCTTCCCACCCAGTGTACTCCCTGCTATTCTCTTCGGATTCCCTACCTGCCTTCATTTCATGGACTGTGCAGTCCTGCTGTCTTATCCATAGGGCACATGTTCTGAGCCCCCATGACTGTCTAAAATCTCAGAGAATGCAAAACACTCTACACACCATGTTTTTTCTTGTCTACATACACCTATTATAAAGTTAATTCAGAAATCAGGCACAGTAGGAAATAATAATCATAGCCAATAGTAAAATAGAATATTATAACCATATAAGTTACTTAAAACTTACACATGTTTTTGTTGTTATGAATTATTTATTTCTGGAAGTTGTCACTTAATATTTTTGGACTGTGGGTAACTGAAACCAAGGACAAAGGGAGACTACTGCACAAGTGGAGTGCTGGCCCTTGGGGCTCCAAAGCACTTCCTGAGCTCAAGCTCATTAAGATGAACATGCTACCTCCCCCCTGTGTTTTTGTACCAGGGATCGAACTCAGGATCTTATGCTTGCAAGGCAGGTGCAGTGCCACTGAGCTAAATTCCTGGCCCAACCCCATCTTGGTCACACTACCTTCCCTGGTCCCGGTCTCAAAGCACATTCTGAAAAAGAACCTTGGCAGTAGTAGAATGTGAAGAAAATGAGCAATTTTAATAGTAAAAAGGATCAAGGCAGTCTCAGAGAGCATTTGTGGGGTTTGAGAGCACTTTCCTCTTATGTGCATGGGGTTGGGGCTTGGAATCCAGGGCCCTGCACATGTTAGGCAGCACCGTACCACTGACTGCCCTTTTATCTCTGTCAGCCCAAGTGCACAGTTGTGCAAGCTGGAATGATTCATCATACTCTCTTCAACAGCCTGTCTCTGAATTTACTACATTAACCCATTGACTTTCCCAAAGACAAAGAGCAGGGGAGAACATGACAGATCTGATTCTGCTGTCCATGGAAGGTCACATTCTGTGGCCCACCTGAGGCCCCCTCCAAAGGTCCCTCTCTCACTCTTTATCCAGGATGCCCCTTATTTGGACCTGGCCCCCTACATGCCTGACTACTATAAACCTCAGAACCTGCTGGACTTTGAAGACCGCCTCCCCAGCTCAGTCCATGGCTCAGACAGCCTGTCCCTTAACTCCTTCAACTCTGTCACCTCCACCAACCTGGAATGGGATGACAGTGCAATCGCTCCATCTAGTGAGGGTAAGTGGCCCCTGGTGGAAAGGAGCCATACTTCTGCCCTGACGCAGACTTTGGAGCTCCCTCAGCCTGGCTGGTGGTGTCTCCCCTAACCTGGTGGTTAGACTGCAGTTGAATAGTGGTGGCTGTTTCTCTGGTCTAGATTTCCACAGAGTCCCTGTGGTGGCTAAAGAAATGGATTCCAGGCACAAAAAGCCAAAATAAGATTTTGTGAAGTTTAGGCACTTTCCCTGAAAGTTCTAGTCATACACCCAGGGACAGTTTTCTGAGCAAAGAAGGATCAGCAGCAGTGCCTTGGAAACTCGCCTGGCATTGCAGGCTGAGTGTTGCCTGCTTTGAGAAGGTTGCCTGACCTGAGGCTCCAGGCAGGAAGTGGCTGAGCAACCCATGAAGAGACAGAGAGCCGGGAGGGTTTAAAGTGTAGGGCACGCTCATGGTGGTCTGTTGTGTGTCCCTTACACACTTGCTGCTGTGTAGGGATGGTTGCACCGTTGCTTCAGAGACTGAGGGAGAATCTGTAGGTCATGTCTTGGTCCTGCAGCTTATTAGAACAGCCTGGTTAGTCTCAAACCATAGGCTTTGGTGTTCATTTATAAAACAAAAAACTGGCCATTTCTCCCACTTCATCCTCACTGGGTGCTGATCCCTTCATTGAAGGGAAGGGGATCCAAGGACAGGTTCAGCCCCTAGGCTGCTGCCTCAACATCAAGACCTTGACCTTCCTCTTTCTTTATTTCCACTTGTGCCGTGAGTCATATGTCCCAGGAGGGGTCACTTTCCCATTTGCTGTCACCAAAACTTCAGGGTTCGCCCAAGCAGAAGATGGCAGCTTGGTCTCCTTGGGTCGGCCCCATGGTCTGTCTTAGAAAAGTCAGAGGGATGGGCCTTGAAGAAGCAGCCAGATGGCTCATGGTTTGTCTCTGGCTCCTTAAGCCCCCTCATCTTAGCAGTTTAGATCATGCATCTGGAGATGTGAGGTAGGACCTCATTATCCTGGGGCTCAGCAGGAAGAGAGCTAAGGGGTTGAAAAAGAGGTTACGTCCGAGGAAACCTACCCAAGTGGTTCTCCGCCACAGGCAGGTTCTCAGTTTGGACTTGAATGGCCCCCAGAGCTTTCCTGAGGTCAGCGACCCTGGGGCCAGTGCCTGAGCTGAGCAGCCAGGCTCCTAGGAGGTTCCCTGAGATTGTTAGAAGAAATGCAGAAAGTTCACGTTTTCTTGTTCTCTCCCCATATCAACCACCCATTGCCCCTACCCTCTTCCTTCCACTGCCTGTGTCTCTAATCTTCAGTTTTGTCCCTCATTTTTATAGATTATGATTTTGGAGATGTGTTTCCAGCAGTGCCGTCTGTACCCAGCACAGACTGGGAAGGTGGGACAGAGTCCTCTGGGACCCTCTTTTCCTGTTTTGCAATGTTTCCATGCCAAGCTTGCTGCATGTCTTGAAACCAGCTCCTTATGATTTATAATAATGTCAATGATCATAATAAGCCAGTCTGGCACTCTAACAGATGGAATTCTGCAGCAGGAGAACTTGGCCTTTAGCCCTAGGTCACTTCCTTCTCTTAGTGCAGGTGCCTGAGGTGTCCCTAAGTGTCTACATTTGGGGATACCAGGTCACCCTCCCTGACTCTCATGCCAATTGACACTCCCAGTGCAGGAGCACCTGCACATTTGTGGGGTGTCAGTGGCCTGACCGAGTGACTAGAGACTTGTTCTGAAAAGCAGTGCCCTTAAACATTGGTTGCAAGATAGCACCCAGCAGAAAGAGGGCTTGATTCTTTCACTGTAGCAGTCCACTCTTAATGGTTCCTTCTCCATTTTTTGTATTGTTTTGGTTTTGTTTTCTGAGCGAGGTTCTTTCTGTGTTGCCCAGGCTGGGTTTGGACTCACAATTTTCCTGTCTCAGCTTCCTGAACACCTGGGATAACAGGCATAATCCCACTGTGCTCAGCCCTCTCGGGTATTTTTTAAAAGAGATTGAGGTCTAAGTGAGGCATAGCTGAATCTTCATATAGGGAGATTCTCTAAGAGGGTTTTTTTTTTTGTACCGGGGATCGAACTTGGGTCCTTGCACTTCCGCAGCCTGTGGAGAAACCACTGAGCTAAATCCCCGGCCCTCTAAGAGGTTTTAAGGCAGATTAAAATAAAATCTGTCAGCCTTCTTCCCTGTCCTCTGGGCAGTACAGGGTTTCAGCATTGTTCTGCTATAACCCAGTGCTGGACTTGTATAAATTCATCAAGTGATTCCCCAGGTTGCCGTGATTATTCAAAGCAGACGTATTTCTGACCAGGCAAATGCTTTCTCTTTAAATATGAGGCCGTTCCAGATACCCCTTCTTAAAGAGCCTTCTGCTTGGGGGCCACTTCCAGCCTGGAGGGGTGACCCCATCCTGAGTACTAAGAGACGCGATCTCTGAGTAGTGGGTGACAGATGCTCTTTCCCATGTAAGCGAGTCTGAAACAAGATCCAGCCCTGGGAAACCTAGATTATGTCACTTGGCCAAGAGAGTAGCATTGCAGTCTCATAGTTTTATTTACATTAGCCTGGAGCCCAGAATTCCATCGTAACACCGTTGGCCCTCAGCCTCTCTTTTGGCACATGTGCTGGACGTTTGGGTTTTCCCTCTGATGCTAACAACTAACCCCCTTCCTGATGTGCCTGTTGCAGTCACTTGACAAAAGGGGCCTGACCTTCCTTTGCAGCCCTTCAGAGCCCCCCGTGGCCTGAGCACTAGCAGCCAGTTGTGTGCTTGCTTAGGCCAGGCTGGGGCCCAGGGCAGGGTGAGATTTCTCTCAACCCTGACCTGCTTTCCTAAGTTCCTTGGGCACTGAAGCATTCCCTGGCATGCCCTTGGCAGCTCACTTGGGGAGACTCTGGAGAAAGCAGCAAGCACTTGGGGAGGGGATGGCTGCTCCATGATCTTTGGTTTTGTTCCAGAGCTGGTGGGCATCCCAGTCTTGATGCCCACCATACCTGAAGTCTGCCTTCTGGCCTCTCGGGACCCCTCCCTAAGCAGCTGCAGGAGCTGAGGAGGAGCAGAAGGTTGGGAACAGCTCAGGCTTTGAGGGACTCATTTGGAGTCACAAGACATGGTTTTGTGCCTCAGAGAACAAAGAAATCTGAAGTATCACAGGTCACTCTTGCCAGAGCTGGCAGTTAGGCCTCCCTTGTCCTTACATCAAAAGGCAGTATGGGGCTGGGGATTTAGCTCAGTGGTTTTGCCGCCTGCTGCGCAAGCGCAAGGACCCGAGTTCAGTCCCTGGTACCAAAAAAAAAAAAAAGGCAATATGCTTTTAAACACTAGATGATGGCTGTGTCAGCAGGCAGCTGTCCAATGGTTTGCTAGTGGGGTGGCCCCCGCTAGGGGGCTGTGAGATAATGGCCAGCAAGATGTTCATACCCTGGCAGATGGGGCAGGAACAACCTGTATCCATGCTGTTAATCCTCACCCAGGCGGGGGGCCTCACTTCTCTGCTTGGACAGCTCCTGTCTGCTACTGACACGTGGCCCATGTGCTTGTCACACTAGTGCCCCTACCTGTTCCAGGCTCTTGGGATGGGGGGGGGCTGGTTGGACCAGCTTTCCCCTGGAGAGGTAGCATCATTGCTCTCCCCTCCCCCAAGGCCAGGCCATAGGTGACAGGCAGGTTTGCATGAAATAGAGCTCTCACCCCACCCCCAAGGGGCATCTGGTCCTGACCCCCAGGCGTGCATACTGGGGAAGAGCCGCATCCTCCAAGGGGTGCAAGGCTCCTCCAAGGGGTGCAAGGCGTCTGGGGCACCCCCTCCCACACTGCCCTTCTGCATCTCATTCTTGTCACCCTTGTCCTGTTGTTTCACTCTCTATTCTGTCTCTGGCTCCTCTATCTGTCCTTCCTGCAGGCCCTCCCCCTCTGGTACCCGTCCTACCCTGTCAGCCTCTGCCCCCTCATTTTCTCTGGTCTCTTCCTCTATTCTTTATTTTTTTGTTGTTGTTACCTATGATCGAACTCGGGACCTTGTGCTTGCAAGGCAGGCACCGGAACCACTGAGCTAAATCCCCAGCCCCTCTTCCTCTATTCTTGTTTCCTTTCTGTTGCCTTTTGTCTGCAAGGGATCCTTCAGAGGACTTGGGGTATTGCTAAGCCCTACTTGTGGGAACAGTGCTGAAGGAGCTGCTTGGCACCCCCATCCTCTGACAGGAGGGCTCCAAGGCTCACCATTAACCTAGAAGCTGTGTGCCTGTCTCCTCTTCATAGCTCCCAGCCTCACCAGAGGTGTCAGAGTCACATGCCTAAGGACCTGACCTTAGGCTGTTGTTTCCCATGGGGCTCTTACCATTAACCTGGCCAAATTGTGTACTCGGGTAGGCTTGGGTGGGCTCCCAGTGGGGGTGGAGGTGGAGGCTCCCCCAGGTTTCTCCTAAAGCACAAATATCTGTCCTGTCAGGTTGGGGTTTCTGCATTTAAAACAGGGTCACTCTGGTCAGACTTCCCTGGGGGAGGACTCACTGTCCCCCAACATAAGGCACACTGTAGAGCTGACCCTGACAGGCTGCCTCCCGCCTCCTTGCCCCAGCAGATGGAGACCTCACAGACACTGTCAGTGGCCCTCGCTCCACTGCCTCGGACCTGACCAGCAGTAAGGCGTCCACCAAGAGCCCCACCCAGCGCCACAACCCCTTCAACGAGGAACAGACTGAGATGGTGTCCTCCTCCGACACCACCCCGGTGCACACCACCTCCCAGAATGGGGAGTCCCAGGTCCTAGAGCCGCCGGATGCCTGCACAGAGCTTGAGGTCATCAGGTCAGCAGGGAGGGCCAGGGAGAAGTTGGCCAGTGTCCTGTGTCCGTGTGTCCATTGCTGGCCTCACTGTTTAGTCCAGGGGTGGCCTCGAGGACAGTGGGGCATCTTCCGGAGACTAAGAAGTAGGCTCTCCCCACCCTCAGGCCGTTTGCATTTGGAGTTTTGTTGGAGGATGAGGATTGAACCCAGGGCCTTTGCATTGAGCTACGTCCCCAGCCCTTTTTAAACATTTTTAAAATTTTGAGAGTCTTGTTAAGTTGCCCAGGCTGGTTTTGTCTCCTAGGTAGGTGCAGCTAGCTCAGTTTTATCTGCTGGAAATCATAAGACCTGCTTGATGGTGCCCTTGGCCACTGCCATTTGTACATCCCTTGTGCTGTCCCCCATGCATACCCTTATCACCCTGCCTCTGCTAGCACCAGGGACCTCTCAGAGCCTGGCCTCTCCCTCACACTGTCCAGGACAGTGGAATTTCTGGCAGTGCCCTCAGAGAGCATATGCCCAGGGTCACTCCGCCCAGCCTGGTTCTCTCGGGATGGCCCTCAGCTGCTCACTGTCTCCCCATCCTGCTCCTACAGGGTCACCAAGAAGAAGAAGACCGGCAAGAGGAAGAAGATCAGACCAGATGAGGAAGCAAGTCCACTCCACCCCATCTCCAGCCAGCAGGCGAGTGTCAGGCAAGGGGATGGTGACAGCCTGGTCAGCAGCCTGGGGCTTGGGCAGGACTCGCTGGACACCACCTCGGCCTCCCTGCCTGAGGAGTTCGAGGGGCCCACCAGTGCTCCCGAGACCAGTGAGCAGTCCGAGCTTGGCCAGGTGGGCCTGCTGATCCCTGAGATGAAGGATACCTCTATGGAGCGCCTGGGACAGCCCCTGAGAAAGGTCATTGACCAGCTCCATGGGCAGCTGGACCCCAGCACCTGGAGCTCCCATGTCGAGCCCCCAGACCAGTCCTTTCGGACCAGCTCTCCCGGGGAGGCCCCGGAGAAACCACCATTTTGCGACTTTAGTGAGGGGCTTCCAGCCCCCATGGACTTCTACCGCTTTACCGTCGAGAGTCCAAGCACTGTTACATCAGGTGGCAGCAACCATGACCTTGCAGGGTTTGGCCAACCGCTGCATGTTCCTGGTGGCCCTGCGGCTGCTAGCCAAGAAGAAGAGGGAGGAGGAGGAGAGGGACAGACATCTGGGCTCCTAGAGGATGTGCCAGGGGTGGCTCAGGAGCTGGAGACCCAGGAAGAGGACTCCCAGCCACCCCTGGTCCTCGAGGGGCCTGGGTCCAAGCCCGAACTACAGACCCAGGAGACTTCCTGCCCACTCAAGCAGGACCAGCCCAGCCCATGTCTGAGTAGCGCTGAGGACTCCGGGGTGGACGAGGGCCAGGGGAGCCCTTCTGAAATGACACACTCCTCGGAGTTCCGGTGAGCAGACATCCACGCTTGCACAAGAAGCTGCCATCCCTGGCGCAGGGGACAAGGGCCTCTGACCTCCCAGGAAAACTAAGCATAGCTCCCTGAAGACTGAGTCTGGGGTGGAAGGGGCCTGATCTCCATGTCCCGAATGACTCCTGTCTTCCCACACTGCCCCTCTCACAGGGTAGACAACAATCACCTCCTCCTGCTGATGATCCACGTGTTCCGGGAAAACGAGGAGCAGCTGTTCAAAGTAAGTTCCAGGAACCTGGGAATCATGGGAGACCCAGTGAGGACAGGGCAGGGTGGGAGGCAGGCCTGAGCGCTGTGTGCTTGCCCCTCAGATGATCCGTATGAGCACCGGCCACATGGAGGGCAACCTGCAGCTGCTCTACGTGCTGCTCACGGATTGCTACGTCTACCTGCTCCGCAAAGGTGCCTGCCGCCCCCCCACCAAGAGCAGGTTGGGGTTCTGACCCCCTTTCCCCAGGCTTCTCTCCTCTGAGTGGTGTGTAGTGGTGAAAACAGACCCCCAGGAAGGTATGGCTAGCTGAGCCTGGGGTTCTGCCCCCCTTGTATGCCCCATGATTGTCTCTACTCTGTCATTCCGATGGTAGGCAAGGAGGGTCCTCCCTGTGAGGGAACAGGTCCTAGGAACGGGGTCTGAGAAGGCAAAGGCCAAGGGGTAATAGGCATTGGGGTCTCCTCTCTCAGGGGCCACAGAGAAGCCATACCTGGTGGAAGAGGCCGTTTCTTACAATGAACTTGACTATGTGTCGGTGAGTGCAGGCTCCGCAGTGGGTTACAGGGCTCCCGGGCCACCCACCCTCTGAGCTGCAGAGCAAGCTGTGTCCCAGGGTTGGGCACAGCTGAACTCTCAGTACCCTGGCTGTGTGCTGGGGACAGGGGCCCACAGTGAAAACATCTCTTCCTGGGCTTTGTGGCTGACCACCTTCCCTAAGTCCTGCTGGCCCAGGCCTCGGGAGCCAAGTGACCCCAGGGTGTGCTTGCTTCTTCCCTCCGGGTTCTACCTCTTCTGCCTGGCAGCAGCCGAGCTCCATGTGGTATCTTCTGGCAGGTTGGCCTCGACCAGCAGACAGTGAAGCTGGTGTGCACCAACCGCAGGAAGCAGTTTCTGCTGGACACCGCAGATGTGGCCCTGGCTGAGTGAGTGTCAGTCCCACCCCTCAACAGGACTGGAGGACAGGACTGACATATGCCCCTGTGTGGTATGGCTGGGGGTGGAGGGTGGGACATGGAAGCCACATGGACTGTTGCCAACAGACTGATCCCCGTGACCTTCAGAAGGGGTGGAACTAGCCTGAATTATCCAAGCACAAGGAAGGCAGAGAGCCTGCTGCTGGACGGGAGGTGCCCTTGAACACTTACACACTTACAGCCCTACATGTGATGAAGCCAGGTCTACCGAGCATCACCTTATCCCATTTCCTTCACTTCAAGATCCAGGTCCTCTGGGCCATTAAGGAACAGGCAAAAAAAAAAAAAAAAAAGGAACAGGCAGCCCTCTTCTGGTCACCATTTGCTGGCCAGAGGCTCCTACTGCATAACTGCTTCCAGCCAGGCCCCTCTGTCACATTGCTGTGGCCTCTCCAGGCAGGAGCTCTCAGGACAAAGCTCTGTCTCCAGGCCTCTAACAGCAAACCTCACTCCCTGTGCAGGTTCTTCTTGGCCTCTCTGAAGTCAGCCATGATCAAAGGCTGTCGGGAACCACCCTACCCCAGCATCCTGACTGATGCCACCATGGAGAAGCTGGCACTGGCCAAATTTGTGGCCCAGGAATCCAAATGTGAGGTCAGCAGCTGAGGAAAAAGTGGGGTATGATCCAGGCAGTCTCAGGGGTGGGTAGCCCATGGTGTTGGGGTTAAGGGATACAGACAATGCCTTCAGTCACCACCCTGGGAGGGTGGGCCTCCTGGCCACAGGATTTGTAAAGCACTTTGTTCTCTGAGCACCTGCTTCTGCTGCTAGCCCAGCCACCTGCCTGGTCCAGGCCTTACCACTCTGTCCACCATCCCCAACTCAGGCATCCACTGTGACTGTGCACTTCTATGGGCTCGTGCATTGGGAGGACCCTATGGACGAGGTCTTGGACCCTGTGCCCTGCCACTGCTCGCCCCTCGAGGGTGCCATCACCAAAGAAGGTGTGCTGCACTACAAGGCGGGCACCTCTTACCTGGGCAAAGAGCACTGGAAGACCTGCTTTGTGGTGCTCAGGTAGGCATCCAGCAGCTCTGTGCCCAGGCTCAGCTGGCCCAGAGCTGGGGGAGGCCCCTTCCTCCTTCACCACCTTTGGGGTGAAGCCAGCCCCCCTGCTGTCCCCTTCAATTCCTTCTTCAGCCTCCCTTCCATAGAAAACAGGGCCCCAGGGCCAGGGATTTAGCTTAGTGGTTCTGCCGCCTGTCTCGAAAGCATAAGGTCCCGAGTTCGAGCCCCTGTACCAAAAAAAAGAAAAGAAAAGAAAACAGGGCCCCAGCTTCCTCTGCCTCTGGGGTTCATGGCCACAGTCTGGGGGTCCCTGGGGTCTGGACTCCACCTGGTCCCGTTCCCAGGCCAAGCCTCACCTACTGCATTGTACCCTGCAGCAATGGGATCCTATACCAGTATCCTGACCGCACCGATGTCATCCCCCTGCTCTCAGTGAACATGGGGTGAGTGTCCAGGAGATGGGGTGCTGGGCAGTTGTCGGGGCCAGGCACTGCTGCCCCAGAGCGTCCGTGCTCCCTGGCCCTCCCATCAGTTCTGTCTGTCCCTTATCCCCACCCTCCCCATCTAGCAGTGGTGACTGGGGCCCTGGGTTTGCTGAGTTGAGGCTGTGAGGAGCCTGGGGAGGGAGGATGGAGGAAGGAGGTACTGCCTGGGGAGCATGGCTGGGGAGGGTCCTGTCTGAAGGGGGAGCCAGCCCCTTCCAGCAGCTCCCATGGGAGGAGGCGTGGATGAGTGGGCGCCAGTTCTGAGCAGCCAAGCTGAGCTGATCTCACCCCTTGCCTGGCCAGGGGTCCCAAGGGACCCTGCAATGCTGGAGACCAAATGAGTTACACAGAAAGGGTGGGGCCTCGAGGGTCCACAGCCTCCTGGGGTCCAGTCCGCTGTCTGTGGCCCTCCATGCCTGCATTCCGCCAGCCCGCCCCTGGGGCTCCCACTCCCCCCACCCCTGCCTCCTTGCTCCTGTTTCACCCCTCCTCCTCTGGCCCAGGGGGGAGCAATGCGGTGGCTGCCGGAGATCCAACACCACAGATCGGCCCCACGCCTTCCAGGTCATTCTGGCCGACCGGCCCTGCCTGGAGCTGAGCGCTGAGAGTGAAGCTGAGATGGCCGACTGGATGCAGCACCTCTGCCAGGCAGTGTCCAAAGGGGTAAGCACCTCCTGTCCCAGTGTTCACCTGCCAGAGCCCCTCCAGAACCCCCGGTTCATCCCAAACCCACACCAGTCACAGAGCAGCCTGCAAGGACCTAGACGGGGGACCCTGGAGCCCAGGACCAGCCCGCCTTCCCTTCTCCCCACTCCCACTCCTGAGCGGGCAGAGCCCACTGGGCCCCTGACTGGGTTCTGGTGCAGACCACCCTGGAGAACTTCCCTGCCGTGCCTCAGGTCATCCCCCAGGGGGTCACTCCCAGCCCCTGCATCCCTTGCTGCCTGGTGATCACTTCGGACCACCTCTTCACGTGCCATGAGGACTGCCAGACCAGCTTCTTCCGCTCACTGGGCACAGCCAGACTGGCCGACATCAGCGCCATCTCCATGGAGCCGGGCAAGGAGTACTGCATCTTGGTAAGCTAGGGCAGGCTGGGGGTGGCATAGGCCTTGTGGGGGGGGGCACCTGCTCACCTCGGGCCCGTCTCCCTAGGAATTCTCCCAGGACAGCCCTCAGCTCCCCACTCCCTGGGTCATCTACCTGAGCTGCACTTCTGAACTGGACCGATTCCTGTCTGCACTGAACTCTGGGTGGAAAGCCATCTACCAGGTACCCAACTGCCTGAGAGCCCCAGCTGCTCCAAGGACCTGGCCTGGCCTCAAGGGTCCTGGGGACAGCAATGTGCCAGCAGCTTTGGGACAGATGTAGAAACTTAGGGCCCTAGGGTTAAAGCACTGCCTCAGACTGTGGCAAAAACTGAAAATAGAGCTAGGAGATGCAATTCCTGACCTCAGCTCCAATTGAAGAGCATGAGGAGGTGCTTATGTGGGCCTGGAGCTGAGCTGCAGGACCCCCCTGCTCTGGAGCTTAACCCAGAGTGGGTGGCCTCACTGGCCCTGGAGAAAGGGATTTGGAGCTGCTGCTACACTGCAGCCTGGGGAAGCCCGGGGAGGAGGCGGGCTCTTGCCATGGAATCTGCTCCCAGGGGATCTGTGGAGGGACTGGAGACCCAAGGCAAAGCCTAGGATTGGCCCCTTGGAAGTAGAGAGCCTGCAGCCTTCCCATGCCACTGCCTGGCTCCATACAGGTGGACCTGCCCCAAAAGGCAATCCATGAAGCCTCCACCAGGCAGAAGTTTGAGGACGCCCTGAGCCTCATCCACAGCGCCTGGCAGCGGAGTGACAGCCTCTGCCGAGGCAGAGCCTCCCGGGACCCCTGGTGCTGAGGTGGAGATGGGTGGTATCCCAGGTGGGCGGGAAAGGGAGGCAGGCTGACTGGAAGGCACACGCCTGTGTCATGCTGCCTGGGAGCCAGGCCCCACATGCTATTGCCCCAGGCAACAGAACCAGAAGTGCGGCTTGAGACAGGGCCTCCTGGCTCCCAGGGATCCGGAGTGGTGCCCAGCACCCCAGGCATCCTGCCTGATGGGTAGTGGCTTGAGGTGGCCGGGGCAAAGAGCCTGAGCCCTGTGGGCTCTGTAGATGACACTTCCTTCCCGGGCCACCACCATCTGTCCAAGATGGTGATGATAATCCATCTAAGGAGGGATCAAAAGATGCAGGAAGGTGGGATCCCCTTTACCCCTGCTGGGTTGGGGCCTGGGCAGAGGCTCAGGGCCTGCTGGGGTCCTGAGTGCCCAGCCACCTTGTTCGTTTTGGAACACTCTTCTGGCTGTGCAGGAGCTGGAGGACTAGTGTCTGTGCATGCCTCTTCCCTGCTGATCCATCCACGCACAGCTGCCTACCAAGGGCCCTGCATGCCCATAGTCTGCCCTGCCTTCTCCCAACCCAGCAGAGCCGGCAAGAACAGGGATCAGCTGGCTTCTCATGCCAGGATTAAATGGGAGCGGGAGGACCTGGCAGAGGAGTGGAGCCCAGCAGCCTGGGGTCCACCTTGACATCTCCTGACTATCCCCTGCCGCCTGGAGCCAGGCCCTCCCTGAGTGCTTTGTCAGAGCCCTCGGGGGAAGGGATCAGTGGTTTGGGTTTTGTTTTTTAAAATAAAACAGATATGTTACATTGCCAAGACTTGTCACTGGCTTTTTGAGCAGGGTGAGGTGGGAGGGTGATAGACCCTCCTCCCATTCTGCAAACATGTCACCATCGTCTGTCATCTGTACTACCTGCTGCCTGGACACATGGAACCGAGTCAGCCTTGGCCTGGAGGAGCACAGGCCCTAGGAAGCTCTTAGCTTGACCTTCCCCTCCCCACTGTGTTCTGCAGCTGCCCTGGGCAAGGGGCGGCCGAGTCCTTGTGGCCAAGTGGCCAGGTCTCACCTTATACAGTGGGCCTTCTGTTTCCAACACCATTCCCCTAGGGCCCTGACGTTTTGGGGGGAGCAGGGATGGGGTGGCAGGAGCCAGAGGCAGGGCACATGCAGCCCCTTTTATTGTGTGGGCCATGGTGTCGGCACACCCTCCACCCCAGTCTCCAAGGCCCTTCTGAAGGAGGTGTCCCTGCCACAGCTGTTACAGGACCCCGCTGGGGCAAGAAAAAAAAAGGAAAATTCCAGGAAAAAATTCTTCAGGTTTCACTTGCACACCATTCTGAGTACTGTAATGACATCTCCTGTCCTAGACTCGAGTTGTCCCTCTGTCCAGCTTACCCATGCTTACGCCTGCCCTTCTGTCAGGAGAACTGTGGTGCTGTCACAGTGCTTGTGTCCAGATAACACTTATTTCAACTAATAAGGCCCCCCAAATCAAGACTGGTGCTCTTTTCCTTTCTCCTTTCCCTCTCTGACCCCACCGCCCTTGCTAGGGATGAAATGGAACCCAGGGTCTCACACACACTAAGCAAGTGCTCTATCATCCCCTTTCCTGAGTGCCATAGTCCACACCTGTGATTCCAGCGCTGAGGGAGACAGAGTAAAGAAGATCGCAAGTTGAAGTCCCACCTACATAACTTAGGCTCTGTCTCCAAATTTTAAAAAATTAAAAGGGCTGGGGATGTAGCTCAGTGCAAAGGCCCTGGGTTCAACCCCCAGTACTAGAATGAATGAAATGATGACAGCTGGGATATAGCTCAATGGTAGAGCACTTGCGTAGTATGCCTGGGTTTGATCCCCAGTACTGAAAAAAAAAGTGAAATTTCCCTCATAAGGAAAGGAAAACAACCCTGAGGTGGGGTTGTTAACACTGTGATAAGAACACACACGAGTTCGGTGTTATCTGCAGTTTCAGGCATCTACTGGGGTCCTGGAAGGGATCCCCTGCAGTCAGCGGAGTCGCTGTGTCCCCATTGTACAAGTGAGTGGGACCAAGGCTCGGCGATGAAGTGATTTCCCAGAGTCACACAACAGCTCCCGGAATTCGCAATGCAGCCTATACCTCAGGAGAGGGTGCTGGCCTAGCATGCATGAGGCTGTGGATTTCATTTTTAAAAAAAGCTCTGCAGGGCTCCAGGGTCCTTCTCTACTTTTGCTGAAAGTGGGACCACAGACTGTGGGAGTCAGGTCAGAAGAGTGAGGCCCAGAGAGTGGAGTCAGCTTGGAGGAGCAGAGATGAGACTGCCCATCTGGCCCATGCCGGGGGCCTTCCAGGACATTTGTCCCTTGTCTAGGGTCCTAGCCAGAGCAGGACAAGGCTAAGGAAGGACAGAAAGATGCAGATGCAGGAGGAGGAGGTGCCTCTGCCACCACCACCTTGTCCCTGCCCCCACACTCCTTCTAGTCCCAAGTGACCTTTCCCCCAGATCCCAGAGTCCAGGCTGGGGGCCAGAGGGTGCAGGGATTGGTCAGGGCGGGAGGAGGCGGGTCCAGCCTCCACTGACCCATCTGCTGAGCAGAGCAGGTGGATTTCCAAGGTACAGGAGGGCAGCAGGGCAGCTGCTGCCTTCAGCTAGAACCTCTGTCTTCTAGACATGGCCCCAGGGTCCCTTGTTCTCCAGCCCTGTGGCCCTGCAGGAGCGCAGACAGCCTAAACACTGCCAGTTTATGGCTGTGCTATGCCCCTGATCCAGGCACAGTTGGCCCCTGGCATGGAGGCCGTGGAGCCGGTCCCCCCAGAGTTGGACCTGGTGCTGGGTGCCTCAGCCTGCTGCTTGGCCTGTGTGCTCACCAACCCCCTGGAGGTGGTGAAGACTCGGCTGCAGCTTCAGGGAGAGCTTCAGGCCCAGGGTACCTACCCTCGGCTCTACCGCGGCTTGGTGGGCTCGATGGCCGCTGTGGCCCGTGCAGACGGCCTTTGGGGCCTGCAGAAGGGGCTGACCGCTGGCCTCCTCTACCAGGGTCTCATGAACAGCGTCCGATTCTACTGCTACAGCCTAGCATGCCAAGCTGGCCTCAGCCAGCAGCCAGGGGGCACTGTGGTTGCAGGTGCTGTGGCTGGGGCACTGGGAGCATTCGTGGGGAGCCCTGCTTATCTGGTGAGTATGCTACCTCCATCCTCCACCACCCCTGAGCCAGCTTTTCGAGGGCTCTGCAGCCATCAGGGCACCAGCTTCAGGTGGGTGGGGCAGGCCAGGTGGGGCAGCCCAGGGGAACATCCGAGCCAGACCAGAATCTGCCCTTGGCCTGGGCACCAGGGCCTTGCCCTAACCCTCGCCGCTCTGAGGTCCTTGCCTCACCAGTCCTGAGCCAGGGGAGAGGGCGGAGGGTGGCAGCAGTTGTGTGGCACCAATCCTGGTTTGGTCATGTTTCTTCCTGGGGCCTGATGTAAGTTGGGGGTCAAAGCTGCCTCCCAGAAAGGGGTCCTGCATCCTCAGTCTGGGCCATGTGCAGCCAGTCAGTCCACTCAGTCCTCGAGGGGTGATAGAACTGAGGCCAGGGAAGGACAAGGGACATTGGCCAAGTTCCACCACCATGCCATACCCCAGGGCTCAGGGCACTGTGCCCTTAGCACACCCGTCTCATCCCCCAGGCTCCATCCTTTCTGCTCTCACAGGTCAAGACGCAGCTGCAGGCCCAGACGGTGGCCACCATGGCTGTGGGCCACCAGCATCAGCACCAGGTGAGTAGCTCCTGCCCAAAGCGCCTGGGCTAGCAAGGGCATCCCATGATCCATGGTTTCTCTCCACAGAGCGTCCTCGGTGCCTTGGAGACCATCTGGCGGCAGCAGGGCCTGCTGGGGCTGTGGCGGGGTGTGGGAGGGGCGGTGCCCAGGGTCATGGTGGGCTCAGCTGCACAGCTGGCTACCTTCACCTCCGCCAAGGTCTGGGTACAGGAGCAACAGGTGAGGGGCTGGAGGGCCATCTGCCTCCTACATAGGAAGTCCAGGGACATATGTCATATGGGGCCCCTTAGAAAGCTGGAGAGCTGGCTCTGTTATCAGAATGGTGACCTGGCCCTTAGGCCCAGCAGGAGGTGGGGGTCAGCAGCAAATTTTAAAGCTGTGAAGGAATACAGGTTGTTAGGGGGTAAGGAATGGCTGGAGGACCCTAGTCTGCTCCCTGACTCCATCCCTTCCAGCCCCCCGGTGCTAGGGGTTGTGGAGGTCACCCCAGGGGTGGGAAGAGGGCAGCTACAGGGTCAGCACCCTATGGCATCCCCACAGTGGCTTCCAGAGGACAGCTGGCTGGTGGCCCTGGCAGGGGGCATGATCAGCAGTGTAGCTGTTGCTGTCGTGATGACCCCCTTTGACGTGGTCAGCACACGGCTGTACAATCAGCCTGTGGATGGAGCTGGCAGGGTGAGTAGGGGACAGGGTGGGGGGGGACTGGGGAGCTGGGAGGGCCCCCAACACACACACACACGCAAGCACACGCACACACAAAGCTGGAACTCACACCAACACGCAGACACATTGACTGGGCTTGTGATGAATGCGTGAGTTCCAGGCATGTCCTAAGTACTTTGGCACCTGGATTTTATTCTTTTTCCTGATGAAGAAACTGAGGCTCAGAGAGATCATATGACTTGTCTGAGGTTACCTAGTGGTTACCCAGTGGGGGCACTGCCAGCTTCAGATATGCCCCTGACAAAGGTGCCTATGTCCACTAGCCAAGCTGAGCCCCCTAACAGAGGCTGTGCCTGCCTGAAGGACTGTCTTTCTAGTGTCACATCCCATAGAGCCGCCTGTTTAGAAGGACATATGCCTTTTCTGACAGTCAAGCACCCACCTGAACACACAGATACATGTACCTGGTCATGCCAGCCGGGGCCTCATACCCCTTGCAGTGATGCCCACGGCATGTCTGTCCCAGGGCCAGTTGTATGGGGGCCTCGCTGACTGCTTGGTGAAGACCTGCCACCAGGAGGGGCCCTCGGCACTCTTCAAGGGGCTGGGCCCTGCCTACCTGCGCCTGGGCCCACACACCATCCTCAGCATGCTCCTCTGGGACGAGCTTCGGAAGCTGGCCAGGCGGGCACAGCAGCAGGACATCTAACCCTCGTCCCTCACCCCATCCTGACTATCCTGCCCTTGGCCAGAGTGATGGCCTGAGACCTCTGGCCTGGGCCTGCACAGGTCCGGGAGAATGCAGCCCACTTTGCTTGATCCAGCCCCAAGGGCCAGAGCATCCGCTCTGAATCACCATCCCTCCATCCCTGTCCCTCTCCATCCTGGGCCACCACGCCCAAGCACTGGCTCATTCTCAGAGCAGCTTATGGTGTCAGTATTGCCACGAGCTGAGCCACTCACCTGCTTGGGCTTGCTGGGCTCTCCAATGACAGTGTGACAGGGAAGCTTCCACCCCAGGGAAGCTGAGGCCAGGAGAGATGACTCGGCCCTGGCCAAAGCCACACAGCCTGAGGTGGCACAGCCAGGACTGGAACTCAGCTCTGCCAGCCCGGACCTGTGCTTTTGACAAGAGCACTACCATACCAGGACTGTGGGGCTGGAGCACCCCTGAGGGGTCCCTGTCCAGGTGAGGAGACCCTGGTGTCCTCCCATCTTGTTTCTAGGGGTGCTCTAACGGTGCTGCACAGTCCCTGACTTAAACACTAGAAATTTATTTTCTCACATCTGCAGGCTGCAAGCTGAAGACTAAGGTGCTGGTAGGGCTCTCTCTCTCTCTCTCTCTTTCTCTGTCTCTCTCTCTCTGTCTCTCTCTCTTTCTCTTCCTGATGCTGAGCATAAGAACCCAGCGGTCATGCTGGGCATATCCTCTACCACTGAGCTACTCCTAGCCCAGAGCTACTTTCCCCTGAGGCTTCTGTCCTTGGCTTGTCAAGGCCACCTTCTCCTTGTGTCCACCCATGGTGTCCTGTGTGTCCTGTGTCTGTGCCCTAATCTCCTCTTAGAAGGACACCAGTCATGTTGGAGTCACCTGGGGTAGAATCTGGGGACACTGTCTGAAGGCTTTTACTGAGGGCCTCCTGACAATTCTGAAAGGGAGCTTGGAAGCACCCACTATTTAGACAAGGGACAGCCTTCCTGGAGAGTGGCGGGGCACAGCCAGAGTAGGGCAAGGAGCAGAGCCCAGCCTTTTCTCCAAAGGCAGCCACACCCACCTTGAGCGTGTCTGCCTTGCCTGCACAGACCTTTGTACTACAAGGTGGGCACAGCGCCCTGACAAGGCGGACAGCCCAGGGACACAGCTGATGACCTTCGCTGCCACACCCTGCCACAACATGTGCCCCACCACACGCTCCAAACCAATAAAGTTTTGTATTTTCGTTACTTTGGTGACTCCCCTCCCTGAAGCGTCTGTCCCCACCTCCACTCTCACTCTGTTCTTTCCATCTGGGGAGGGAGGACAGCAGATTCCTGTGGGCCAGGCCCAAGCCACCTGCCACCTAGTGGACCCAGAAGGGATGGCATGGGACAGACTCAGGCACAGGCAGAGCAGCCCAGGCTGGACCCATGTCCAGGCCAGAGCCAAAGCCTAGGGAGGGTGGACAATCAGACATCATGAGGAAAGCCAGAGCCTGACCTCCCCTTCGAGAAAATACCCAGACCTTGGGTGGCTGGGAGAGACCTCAGACCTCAGGCTGTGGGGAGAGACTCCCCACTTCCAGACCTTAGGCTCAGAGGACTGAGTCCACACTTATGGCTGAGAGGGTTAGGGCCCTGCCCTGAGGCTGGCAGGACAGAAGAACTGGGCTTCCAATAGGTGATGTGGGATTCCAGCCCTTTGGGAGAGTAAGACAAGTAGATGGCAGACTTCAACAAGAACGGAGGGCAGAGACCCTCTGCCGCCCACAGGGGAGCAGGAACAGCAGCCAGCCCTGGTGGCCCCTGGCCCCTGGAGCTGGGCCTGCCTCCCTGCAGCCTGGAAGGGTTAAGCCCGGCCTCTCCCCTCCTCTTCTAGGCCTTTGACCCCTCCCAGCTCCTCCCCTGCCTTCCACTGACACCTCTGCCCAGTGATGTCATCAGTCTGCCTGTGCAGACCTGGCCCGAGGCTGGGCCAGATCAGGCTGCCATGTTCTCCCTGCTGTCCCTCCCCTCATGGCTCCCCGGCCTCCCCTCCCTGGAGTGGGGCTGCAGCCTCCTTGATGGCCTCCTGCAAGGTGAGCACCTCCTTCCTTTCCTGCTGGGCCTCGCCCTCCCCAGGTATGAGGCGGGCCCCACCCACTTGGGCCTGGCCACCTGGCCGCCCCCAGCTGGGCCTCCCGCACCACTGTCCCAATGCCTGCCTGCCCGGCCTCGGCCTCCTCCCTTTCCCCTCCGTCCTCACAGGCCTCGTCGGGGCCTGCGGCGTCTCCATTCTGAACAACCTCCTGAAGGTTTACTTCTTCGTGGGCTGTGCCAGGTGAGTGCCCCTGCCCCTGCCCCATGCCTGCCTTCACCTCTGTGCAGCAGCTGAGGCTGGTGGCCCTGCTCCTCTGCCCTGACAGTGACCCCGGGCGGCGGGCAGAGACAGAGCGGCTGCGGGCTCAGTGGGCCCTGCTGGAGACGGTGCAGCTGGCTGGCTTGGCCTTGTTCCTGACCATCGTGGGGGCCCGGGTGGCTGCCCTGGTGGTGCTGGAGTTCTCCCTGCGGGCCGTGTCCATGCTGCTGTCCCTGCGCAAGGTGAGACTGTGGGCAGGTGGGTCATGCCCCACCCTGGCCCCTGGCATGGGGAAGCTGGGCGCCATCATCTTGGGCCCCTCTTCCCTCGGTTGAGAATAAGGTTCCCATCTAACTGCCAAAGTTGCTCTCCACTCACACCCGATACAACCCCGGTCCCAAGAAAACAACACGGGCTCTGTGTGGAGCCTTCCAGAGCCAGGCCCTGTGAGGGCTATTTTAAGGCCGTCATCTCATTTCACCCACACAGCCGGAAGAGATTTGCTTCCATCCCCACTTCACAGACAGGGAAACTGAGGCTCAGAGGGAGCACACAGCTTGTTCGTGGTCACCAGCCTGCAAGAGCAGTCAGATGTGAAGCCAGGTCTTTGAGGCTCTGGGCCACCTCCCTGCAGCTCTCAGATGGGCAGAGGGATGGTGCAGGGTCCCTTCAGGCTCCAGGCTCCTGCAATGGCACAGCACAGCCACTGCCTGCCGCTTCCTGCAGGGCTCCCAGGGCCTCGAGACGCTGCAGCTCTACCTGCTGAGCCAGTATGCGCTGGGCTGCGGGCTGACCTGCGGCCTGAGCTTCCTGCAGGAGGGTGCCCTGCACCGCACCCTTAGCCTGCTGCTTAGCCTTCTGCTGGCTGCACTGCTCCATTCTGGTGCCCGCCACCTCTGCCACCACGTCTGCTGCCTCTACGAGCTGCACAGCAGCCAGCACTACTGTGGGGTCTGCCTGGGCCTGCTGGCCGGTGCTCACCGGATCCCTGGGCTGCTGGGCCGCGCCCTGGCCATGGCCTTCACTGTGGGCAACTTGGCAGCCGTGGCCCTCATCCACAAGGACTTCCTGAGCACCTCAGAGGCTGTGCGCTTTTGGATGCCACTCATCATCTGCTACACGCTGCTGGTCATCTACATGCAAGGTGAGGGCCTGGCGCTGGGTCCTTCCGCCAAGCGCGGAGGAGAGACCACGAGCTGGAAGTTCAGGGCGGGCTCAGCAGAAGCACTGGGATCCCTGAGGAGCTGATGCCAGGCTCAGTCCTGGGATGACAGCAGGGAAGGGAACAGTGGGTGGAGAGAGCCACAGGTGCCAAAGCCCAGAGTGAGTGTGTGGGACCTTCACTCACAGAGTCCAGGGCATCTGTGCTGCTGACGGTATGGGAAGACACAAGGCTGGCCAGGTTCTTCCCAGGGTCCTGATGAGCAACCTCACCAACTGGGCTGGGCCGCCTGCTGGGAGACCATGCAGGTTTCTAAGTGGGAAGAGGGATCCAGTCAGATCTGGCCTCTAGGAAGAGCTATCTGGCTGCAGAGTGGAGAGACGGGAGCAGAGGGCCAGGAAGGGTGGTCCACACCTTGAGAGCAGAAAGTGCAAAGGCCCTGAGGTGGGAATAAGCAAAAAGCAAGCTGGGCTGGCTGTTGGTGGTAAGCAAGGGGGAGCAAGTCAGAGACTGAAGCTAGGGTGGACTTGGGCCAACTCTAAGCCAGCCAATGAGGCAAGATCTCTTTTTCTCCAAATGAAGTAGGAAGACTCAGAGGGCTATAAACAGAGGGATGACCTCATCTAGTTGACATGATTGCAAGGTCACTTTAGCTGGTCAGCAGACGCTAGATTGCAGGGTCAACAACCAAAGCTGGAAACCCGGTGTGGTGGCACATGCCTCTAATCCCAGCATTTGGGAGGCTGAGGCAGGAGGATCACTGTGATTTGAGGCCAGTCTGGGCTACATAGTGAGTTCAAGGCCAGCCTAAACTACATGGTGAGACTCTGTCTCAAAAAAACAAAGCCAAAAAAAAAAAAAAGAACCAAATCTGGGAGCCCTGGGAAAAGACTGTTGGCAGGCAGGAGGCAGCTGGGATGGGGTGAGATTGGGGTGAGTTTGGTAGAAGGACAACCACAGTGTTTCTAGATGGAGCAAAGAGGGACGAGTAGGAAAGAGAAAACTTGGGGCGACCCCTGCCACTGTGAGGCTCTGCCCTGGACTGGTGGGGCCCCAGGCTGCAGGGTGGGCAGAGTATGTGGGGAGGCAGGCGTCGCCTGCACTTCCAGTGTGCACAGAGGACTTGGGGATGGAGGAGGTTGGCCAGGGGACCCCACAGGCCTGGGTGCGGCAGAGGGTGGGCAGTGACGGCCCCACGTCCCCAGAGGAGCAGTGGCAGCAGCGCTTCAGCATGCAGAGCCAGGTGCAGACGGTGCTGGTGCGCATGGGCGGCCTCTTGGTGCTGCTGCTGACTGTGGGCCGCTGGCTGGACCTGCTGGGCCTCCTCGTCTCCCTGCTGGCCGAGCTCTGGTGCCTGGCGGGCGTCCGCACCCTGCTGGACCTCTGTCAGATCCAGGTGGGCACCCCGCCCTGTGTAGCCTGACCCCGCTGCCCAAAGGGACCTGGGGGCCTGAGAGCTGGGGTGCCCTCTCTTGGGGTGTGGGGTCGGGGATCTGGACTGGGCTCCCCTCCCGCTCCCGAAGAAAGGTCCAGGCTGTCCTCAGTGCCCCTAGCAGCAGGGACACCTCACCCTGCCTTGGTGGGGGCTCCAAGTGGGGGGAAGGTCCCCAGTAACTGGGGGCCAGGATGGCCAGGGGTGGGAAGGGAGGAGTGGCTCCTGCACTCTCTCCTCCCCACCCCACAGGACTTTCTGGCCCAGCCTGTGGTGTCTGCTCCCAGCCGGCTCAAGCCCTCGGCCCCCACTGAGTGCCAGAAGATGGTGCCATCCTGATCCGCTGCCACAGGGGGACCCGACTCAGTCTTCTGCCCTCAGAGCCTGAGTTTCCTGGCCGTGACCTCTGGACGCTGCCCGGAGGCGGAGTGGCAGGGATGGCTCCACCTGGACCTCGGGACAGGCCTGAGGTGTCAGGAGAGGGCAGCTGGGGGCTGGGGCATCTGGAGGCCCCTGACGAACTCCAGGCGGGCAGTGGATGCAGCCCCCTCTGACCTGCCTTCTGGGGCAGGGGTGGAGAGTGGGGTGCCCAAGTCCTCAGATCAGCTTCTCCCTCTGCTGGCCTCCCTTCCCCTCTCCGTGAACAATAAAGATGACTTTTTCACCTTGTATTTAGTATTACAAAGTCATGGAGAGGGAAGGAAGCTTTTTAACCAGGGTAGGTGGCTCACACCTGTGATCCCAGCACTCTGGGAGGCTGAGGCAGGAGGATCACAAGTGGGAGCCCAGCCTGGGCATCTTAGTGAAACCCTGTCTCAAAACCAAAAATGTTTAAAGAAGGCTGAGGATGTAGCTCAGTGCAAAGGCCAGGGTTCAATCTGAAGCATCAGGAAAGAAAAGGACTTTTCGGGGAGGGGTGTTGAGATAGAGTCTTATAGTTAAGGCTGGCTTTGAACTCACTATCTAACTAGATAGGCTGGCCTTGAGTTTTCGACAATCCTCCTGCCTCAGCCTCCCAAGTGCTAGGATTACAGGCATACACCACAGCACCCAGGAGAAAGGACTTTCTGAGGCCACACAGCTCTTCTGGAGGGCTGCCTTGGGCCAGGTTCCCTGGGGACAGAGCACTCTCAGACAGAAAGGACTCTAGCATGGGCCGGGAGGTGAGGGCTAGGTGGGTGGACGCATGGCCTGTGCCCACCTCAGGCCTGAGTGCACAGAGCCTGTGTCTCCTCTCACCCCGGCTGAAGCAGCAGAAGCTTCAAAGGGCTTTGTGGAGCCTTTGGTTCCCTGGCTCCTGACCCTGCCCTGCCTGAGACCATGAGGATCCTCCCATCTTAGCCCGTTCAGGGCCAGGATCAGAGAGGCCAGTCGTTCTGGCCCTTGTCCCTCTGCCTGCCCTCCGTATGACCTGAGCAAGCTGCTGTCCCCGAGCCTGTGGGAAGGGCTCCTTCCATGTGTGTCTCCTGCTGTGTGCTGAATACCCTTATTATCCTAGTTCATTTTGATGTCAGCCCCAAGAGGTGGGCACTGTTATCCCTTTTTACAGATTCAGGGGCAGGGGATTTGGCTCAGTGGTTCCACTGCCTGCCTTGCAAGCACAAGGTCCAGAGTTCAATCCCTGGTACCAAAAAAAAAAAGGGCCAGGGATTTAGCTCAGTGGTTCTGCCTCCTGCCCCGCAAGCACAAGGACCTGAGTTCAATCCCCAGTACCAAAAAAAACCACCAAAAAAACCACAACCGAAAACGGAGGCTCAGAGCTGAGGTGACTTGCCCGAGGTCACACACGTAGTAAGTGGCAGGATCTGAGCTCAGATAGCCTGATCCCAGGGCTCATCCACTCAGCATGTTCCCTGTTCCCCTCTTCAGGTTGACGATTCGGGGCCCAGAAGCCGACAGGCCTGGGCACAAGTTACATGGCAGGTCTGTCCCTGGCAGCTCTAGGATGTGCCTCTGGCCACGTCTGTCAAGGCAGCCTGAGGCTCCCCAGCAAGCCCAGGCCTCTGGGCCACAGGGATGGAGGGCCCCAACCCAGCAGAGACCCATGGGGCAGGGGAGGCTCCTTGCCAATGGCCCTCCTCGGGCTGGAGTCACGTTTGTCTGAGACTGGCAAGGAGTGTCAAGTGTCACTACTAGTGGGGTCTGAGGAGGTTCCCCTAAGGAGGAACCAGGCAGGTTCTGTTTTTTGTTTTGTTTGTTTGTTTGTTTCAGACAGGGTCTAGCTATGTAGTTCGGGCTGGCCTTGAACTGTCTATATACCCCAGGCTGGCCCAGAACTCGAAAGGATCCTCCTGCCTCAGCCTCCCAGAATTCTGGGATTATAGGTGAACACCACATATTATCACAGAAAAGTATTTCAGGACCATTGGTAAGAATCCTGAGCTGACTGAGGAGGCAGAGTTAGAAAGCAAGAGAAAACAGGGAGGGGACTTGAGTTTGAGGAGCTGAAGGAGGCACAGCTCTGACAAAGAGGTTCAGACCAACTCCTCAACAAAGGACAGAAACCACTCTTTATGGCTTTTCCAGGGTGGGTTAGGCACTTGATCTTTATCTCAGGCCTGGCCTTGCAAGCTAGCCCTGAAGAGAAGTCCTTATGGCTTGAGTTGCAGTCTGTTCCCAATCACAGGGTCCTGAGTTCGATCCCTGATAGAAAAAAAAAATCTCCTTGAGTTGCAGTCTGTCTCCCCAAGATGATGACTCTGCCTGGGGCCATCTCAGTCCGCCCCCCGAAGGCTCTGCCGAAGCCAAGGTAACCACAGAGTGAGGGCAATGACTGGAGATTTCGGGGCACCCTGGGAGGTCGGCTGTCCCTGTCCTCAGTGTTGAAGGGGATGGAGTAGGTCGTGTAAATGCAGGGCTAACCTACCTTGAACCACCAGCCTCTGGACTGGAAACAAGGAGCCAGCCCCTGTACAGGGCTGGGGGATCTGACCCAGGGTTTCCAGGGAAATAAAGAAGACAAATACAGAATGAAGGTCTGGCTCTGCTCGGCCTTTAGTTACTTGCTGGGTATTTGCAGGCCAGAGTGAAAAGTCACTGTTTTCAGCTAAAGTAGCTTGTGGGTTGCCTCAGGAGAAATCCCAAATCATGTTTTCAGCGGGGGACAGGTTAAGGGCCAAGAGTGAGGGTATCCTCTGTCCCCACAGTGACCCCTGACTGTCTCCAAAGGGAGTGAGCCCCGATGAAGGTAGTTTCAGGGTTCCAGGCTCTAATGGGTTCTTTACTCCCTGCACAGGACACCATGGTCACCCAAAGGCCACCGGGAGCAGGCAGGGCCTGGCCTCTGAACCTCCATGGAGCAGGCTGGACCCAAGGCTGGGTGGGTGCTTTCAGCTCCATCCCCAGGAATGGGGTGTCATTCCAGGGTGTGGCTGCAGGGGACAGCACCCAGGGAAGCCCCCTTCCCCAGTATAGGACCCGGTTTTCCTGCCAGGGCACGGGAGCCGTCCCTCAGGACAGGAAAGGGCTGAGCCTGGAGGAAGTGGCTCGGCACAGTGGGCCCAGGGCCAGCCCTGGCAGACCAGGCAGGGCTCGGGGTTCCAACCAGGGC